ATTTTATCGGTAAAACTGGTCTCGGGCATCCCCTTAATACAACACAGCAGTCGTTAACACAGTCGAACTCTCGATGTCGAAAATATGGCGTTTTTTCGTTTTATGGATTGCGCGAGATATAAGCCGATAAGCGCAGCAATTTAGGCGACGAAATGGTGGCTGCGGAAATTGATGAAAAATTCGTGGCATCGCGGCGAGGACACAAAAGCCGGGGACTCCCGCTAATGACTCGGAAGTGTATTAACTCCGCCTGTCCCTCGTTGGCGGGACGCGCGGATAACGACTAGATTGAGTCCCGGCCGCGGCGGCTAAAATGTAAATCCTGGAATGGAGGCTTTCTCAATTATATCGCTGGTGATGGATGAATCCCGCAACGGGGTGTCCCGTTTTCCCCGAAAGAACGGGAAGCGACGCTTCCGTCCTCTTTCATCGCCGACGCCGACTTTGAACTTTATTCATAAATACATATCGCGAGACGGTCGCTTTTTATCGGGAATCATCTTCTCGAGACGAGTCGGTAAATTTAGCCGACCGTGTACACTGTAAAAAATTTTAGTGTAAATTTACAACTATTATAGGGGGTAATATTGAGACCAATTATTAAAGGTGTATATTTACATATATTAGTAAATTTACATTTCATAGATAAAATTATTATCTTAAATAGTAAGTAAGCATCTTCTACTAATAAATTTACATGTTAGAAGTAGATTTCTAGAAATGTTTATGTAATAATACATTTTGTATATGTATTTATACAATTTCACATATTAAATTTAATTCAAAATTACATACATAATTAGTGTAACAATTACGCTATTTATAACGAAAATATATAAATTCATGTATTTTTACAAAAAATAGTTATTTTACTCTTTATTGTGTAAATATTCGTTTATCAAGTGTAATTTTTAAATTTTATATAAATGTTACAAAAAATTGTACATTTACATAAAATCCGAAAATTACACTTTTAACCTTGTAATTTCTTATCAAATATAAACGAATATTTGCAATAAAGAGAGTAAAATAATATTTAATAAATGAATATTATTTTAATAAATAATTAATATTAATTATTATAATATAATTATTATAATAAACGAATATTTACAATAACGAGTAAAATAACTAATTTTTGTAAAAGTACATGAATTTATATATTTCCGTTATAAATAGCATAATTGTTACTGATTATAAGTGTAATTTTACATACTTTTTTACAGTGTATAATATAACAGTTATGTCGTTATTACATAATTTAGCTGATTTTTTTTTTTTTTTTCATGAAACTTGATTTCGCAAAAATCGATTCTCCACGACTGAACGTCTTTGTGTGAATTTGAGCGGGCGTCCGCCTGAAATTTCCATCGAAAATCGGATTCGCTGAGGAGGAATTCACCGTTAAAATGTGACGTAATAATAGCGCCTTTGCAGAATCTAACGGAAGGCAGAAACTTGATGGTGCGACGTCGAGCAGTTATTCGTCATCCTTTCCGTCTCATACAGAGAAGAAAGTTTTCAAGCTGCCATCGCGCAGTTACATGCTACACGCACATACTCACACGCACACACAAATGAGACGCGGCGCAGTCACGTACCGTGGAAACTGGATCTCTTGGGTCTTGTTTGCCGCGTTTTCGGCTATTTTAAGGGAGACGAATCGCGTCGAGGATTCTAAACCAATTCCGCGGGCAAAGAGCGAAAACGCGAAAGAGCATCTCAGATGAACATAAATTACTTCCGCCTCTCGTCCATTTTTTTTTACGCTCTCACGTTGGAGTACATTTTCATGGTATCGGAATTGCTCGGGATCGTTTACGACTCGCAGGATCGCATATAAGGCTCTTATCGTGTATAAATTTGCTCGGTCCTTTCCTCAAGACATTTCCGGCGGGCATTATGGTGGAAGGATATTGCCAGGGTGGATAGAAAGAGCCGCAATGCAGGCAAGGGCGTTGTCAGGGCGACCCTAGCGACCTTAAAGCCTCATTCGCACTGAATTTGCGGCGATCCGTTTGCGAAACGGCACCCGCGCGTCCGATCGGTCTTTCGAGACTCGATTCCATCCGCCGGCCATGCGGATGCAATTCGTTCCGTACATCGGAGCGAGCCTCGAATAGCGCCGCCATTTTTCGGCCGTACCGATTGATGCTGATGTCCGCGATGAATTTCGAGATGGAATTCCGGGCACCACGCGATATCACACTGAGAAAAAAATTTGGTTGCATTAATTAGAATTCTGGTAGATTCAACCAGTATATCTGTTGTAAAATGAACGAACCAGAATTCTTGTAAGAAGTACCAGATGAATCTGATTAATTTCTTCCTGTCAAATTTACCAAATTTTCTCGTTCATAATATTAAACTCGCCATCAAGTCGTCTAAAATTTTTTCCATCTAATCTCAAAAGTCTGTTTAATATTCTGAATTCCAACAAGATTATTGGATAAATTCAATCCAGATTATTGAATAAATTATTTTAAATTCAGTTTGTTAGAAATTAAACTGATAAACAGTGATGCAAGAAGAGGATGCAGCTCAAACATACACAATCAGAGAGTTAGCGTCCTCTTTCCGGTACTACTGCTCGTAAGAAAAAAAATATACTTTGGATTTAATGTTAATACTAGTTCTTTATATACATTTCATGGCAAATATTGAATACGAGTTAAGTTAAGAAGCAAGCAAAGAAATTAATGTAACAAGAAATTTGATAGATCCAACCAGAAAATACTAACCATATCCTTATAGTAAAATCTATTAAATGTTGTAGTTATAAAAAGTCGAGTCTTATTGTGATAACTAGAAATTCTTGTGTGATTTAATTAAAATACCTTCAATCATATACGGCTTGTTGATACAATCAAACGATTTTTCTCAGTGTAGAATATTAATAAAGTATTACATTATTTTTTATTATACAAGCAATTAAAGTTTAAATTATTTCAATAAAATGTTTTGTTTTCTTGAAGATTTGACTATTATGGATGAAATCTTTAAAAGAACAAAAAATTTAATATTTAATATATATGACAGAGAGAAAGAGAGAGACGAGTACAATAAATCTGTGTAATATGTAAAGTACTGACAAAGTTCTAAAAATTTTCGCCAATTTATTAAAGAATTAAATAATTAATTCTTCAATACAACACTGAAAAAAAAATCTGGTTGCATTAATTAGAATTCTGGTCTTAGATTCAACCAGTATATCTGTTGGAAAATGGACGAACCAGAATTCTTATAAGAATTACAGATGAATCTGATTAATTTTTTCCTTGTTAAATTTATTAAATTTTCTTGTTAATAATATTAAACTCGCCAGCACCAAGTCTAAAATTTTTTTCCATCTAATCTCAAAAGTTTATTTAATATTCTAACAAAATTAATTAATTCCAACAAAATTATTGGATAAATTCAATCCAGATTATTGAATAAATTATTTTAAATTTAGTTTGTTAGAAATTAAATTGATAAACAATAATGCAAGAAGAGGATGCAGCTCAAAATCAGAGAACTAGCGTCCTCTTTCTGGCACTACTGCTCATAAGAGAAAAAAAATATACTTTGGATTTAATGTTAATACTACTTCTTTATATCCATTTCATGGCAAATATTGAATACGAGTTAAGTTAAGAAGCAAGCAAAGAAATTAATGTAAAAAGAAATTTGATAGATCCAATCAGAAAATACTAACCAAATCCTTATAGTAAAATCTATTAAACGTTCTAGTTATAAAAAATCGAATCTTATCACAATAACTAGAAATTCTTGTTTGATTTAATTAAAATGCCTTCAATCATATACGTCTTGTTGGTATCAATCGATTTTTCTCAGTGCAATGATATCGCGATGAGAAGAAGATTCGAACCGCGTTTTAGCTATCTTCAATTTTGCATTTTGAGTTCCTTCCACGGAATCTTTTGCATTATTTTTATTATCCAAAGAGTTATAAAGTCTCGCAATCTCAGTGACAGCATTACAAATGGCTAATTGGACGTGCGACGTAATCCCGTTAATTTGGCATTATGCAAATGGCGAGACATGCGATTGCGTAATTGTATTAACCTCAGCTGAACTGCGTCTACATTTGAGAGAAAAGGAGGAGGGGAGGAAAGGAGAAATGCTCAGGATTGTAGAATTCTTTCACGTATTCCATAAGTCTCTTCGTTTTAACTGCACTTTCTGCAATTACCTACGTACGATCTTTTTGTTTCCCATTTCCTTTCCTACGAGTATTAGCCTTGTTTCGTTTTGAATGCGGAAAGCGTAGGAAAGTGGAGCGCTGAAAGCGGAGCGCGCACCTCACGTTCGTCATTTCATTTAATTACCGAGACTAAATTATATACGTAAGCAAGGTGAACGCAGAACAGCTACTTAATTAGGCATTCTTTGACTCATTCTCCCTCTTTCTTTCTCTCCTTCTTTTATGCCCGCGCGCAAAGCCAAGCCTCGAGAGTTACGTTCGCGTTAATGTCCATTTAATATTCGATTAAGATTTCGTGCAAACTCTCGATCGGCCGATTGATTGTCCTTCCGTTTGTCCCGCCTGTACTTTCGCGAATCGAGTAATTACCGAGAGAGAGAAGGGAAGGAGGGGGAGGATGGGAACGTTAGCAGTGTCGAATTATCAAGCGCCAAATCAAGCTCCCTCCTGGTCCTCGGGGGAGACCGCTCTCTGTATTTACTCGTCCCATTAACGCTGGATTAGTATGTAGAACGTAAACGCGTCCGTAAAATAGAGACGAGTTAACTGGATTACCATAAATCGATGCACCCGGAGCTTTTGGCGCGTGCCCGCTCGCAACATTCGGGTACACAATGGCCGATGATGCCTCGTTCGTGTCCATTGTGTCCGAGGAACATCCCGCGTCGCGAGCCGTTAAAATCATCGCGAGTTATCTCGGACGCTCGAGGATGTTTGGAGAATTAAGGCCACGTCAGGGGCCGATTTAAGCAAGGTACACGGAATAATAACCATGTTTGTCTTCTCGTTGCAGGTCGATCTGAAGCCGTTGCGAGAGGCGACGGTCGCGGTACCAGCGCCCAAGATCACGGAAAAGCGAAAAGCCGAAGATGCGGACGCTAGCAAAGATCTAAAAAAGGTAAGCCTTTCGTTTGCGCAGACTGTTTGACGAGCCATTTATTAGATGAAAGTGCGGCCAGAATAACAGAGGTGGTTGCGTTGAAATTAGGGAAAACGCTTCGAGGTAGGGTTGCACGAGATACCAAGATTAGTCTTGATATTGTCTTGTCTTGTCTTGTCTTGAATTTCAAGACAAGATCAAGACAAGATTTTTAATTAGTTATCAAGACAATACCAAGACTAAGACTGTCAAGATTTTTAGTCTTGTCAAGATTATTGGTTCTTAAAGAAACTGAAATATTTATATTTGTAAATGAAAAAAATTACTATATACGAATTTAACAAAATTTTATTCAATGAAAACATTTATATTGATAAATTTAAAAATATTTAATATTAATACAATATAACATTTTTATAAATTAGAAATCAAACTCGCAAATTTTAGACATTAAAGAGCATTTAACCCAGAAATTGATGCACATAAGTGCTTTTAAAGATTTGTAATCTGATTCTATTTTTTGACATAGTCAGAGTTCCTATTGAGAAAAGTCTTTCTACTAGCACGGACGAGGCAGTTGAACTTAAAATGTCTCGAGCCATTTTTGACAATGTGGGATAAAATGAACCTGATTTTTTTACCACTCCAAAATATTTATATCTGCACATTCCCTTGGAGCCTGTAAATAGTTATTAATTTCTGTTTTCTAGTAAACCTTTAAAACAGTAAATGTTTTTTTATGTAAATAGACGGCATTTATATCGATTACATAGTAATAATTATAATTAAAATATAATACAATAGTAATAATTATTTCAAATTATATCACAAAAATTATGTTAAATATTATTTAAATAATTTTTTAATATTAGATAAAAAATTGTTAATAAAATCGAGACAAGACGAGATTTTTCCTAAAACCAATATTCACTGAAGACCAAGACAAGATTTAAATTTTTCAAAATTTCCAATACCAATACAATATTTTTACAAATATTGTCTTGTCTTGGGTTAGGTCTTGTCTTGTGGAACCCTAGTTGCGTTGAAATTAGGGGATGGGGAAACGCTTCGAGGATACTATCGAAAATTATTTGGTACCGCAAGTTATTGGGTGCCTCCCAACCTCCCTAGGAACTTGAATTAGTTGAGAGAAGAAGAGAAGATCGATCGCCTTCTCGTGTGTCTTTTGTAACGACGCGTTTACAACGATTCTCGATCCGATGGCATCCGATACTCCCGTTGTTGCGCGTGCGTATTCCATGTTATCTAGGATAGTTAACGTAATTAACGCGTTACGCGGTCAGGTAGCCGGAGAGAGCCCGTACCTACCTATCTGCTCCGATTCGACGTCCATTTTCGTGCCCTCGTAACTCATGTGGAGGGCCGGTCGGGAGAGTCGGGAACAGATTACCGTGTGTACGTGTACGGTACACCCGCCCACTGTCTATCCATCGCCTCCTCCATGTGCTCCTCGTCGTTCTCGTCGATATTCGACGCGCGGGGCGTCAGCCGCGAGGCACGGCCTCATTAATCTATTCGGTGCGCGCGAGAGCGTCCGCTCATTAACGAAATAAACGTTAGCGAGAGAGAGGGAGAGAGACAGAGAGAGAGAGAGAGAGAGACGGCGAACCGGAACGTCGCTCTTTGAGAAACCCGAGTTTGCTGGCGTTACTGTTGCCAACAAAAGTCGTCGTCGGACCTTTGACGTTTAGCTTCGCGCGAATTACTAGAGTTAACGATGTTGCTGATAGTCGTCGCGATGGAGTTAACTCGTTCTTGGTGTAAAAAGAATTGTATATATCTTAGTATCTCGTCGAGGAATCATCCTCGGTTCGTATATCATTTGTAGATTCGCTGACGTTATGCAATCTCTTTCTGTTTCTTCCTTTTTTCTTCTTTTTAGATAGATTGCCTCGTGGAATGCTGATTGCTTCGTTGTATCTATTCGTTAATCTCTGCGCACATTCGCCGGAGCGATCGAGCGGGAGGTGTTTAATCGATTGGCTATATAACGAGTGGAAACATCGTGGATAAAAATAATTGAAATTAATTTTATTCGCGACGCACGTCGAGAAAAAGATGCGAGATTTGCCTCGCGTTCTTTCGATAATTTCCCTGCGATTAATCCGCCATTATCGTCAGTACGTTGCTTTTATCTTTCTTTACTTTGTTTCTTCTTTATCCTCCTCGTGCAACAGTAGTTTACAGTTCGCTTCGAGTTAAGCTAAGATAGTCAGGAAATTAATTGCCCAAGGCAGCGCTTGGAAGCCTCGAGCGACTACTTTGGTCGAGCAATGGCTCCGTTAATCCGCCATTGATCTAAGTAAACCCGAAGCTGCGCGCGTTTAAGTTCACACTTGGAGCGTCGTCCCTTTCCGCTGTTTTATAACGCATTTAAAAATATATTTTCTCCCGTGGAAATTATTCATTCTATTGGAAATAAATTCGCGCACTGAGAAAAATCGTTTGAACGTACCAACAATACGTATATGATTGAAGATCATTTTGGTTAAATCAAACAAGAATTTCTAGTTATCACGATAAGACTCCATTTTTTATAACTAGAACGTTTCTTTCTCTGCTGCTTTAAGGAAATTTGAGGATGTAAGGATCTTTCAACTCTATGTGTGGCTTTGTTTGAAAAAAATTTTAATATAAATTTAATATAAATTGCAATATCTTTTAATATAATTTATTAATATTTATTTTCAATATAATTTATCAATATATTTTAATATAATAATATATTGCAATTGTACACTGAGAAAAATCGTTTGATTGTATCAACAAGACGTATATGATTGAAGGCATTTTGGTTAAATCAAACAAGAATTTCTAGTTATCATGATAAGACTCGATTTTTTATAACTAGAATGTTTCATAGATTTTACTATAAGGATTTGATTAGTATTTTCTGGTTGGATCAAATTTCTTGTTACATTAATTTTTTTGCTTGTTTCTTAATTTAACTTGTATTTAATATTTGCCATGAAATGCATATAAAGAACTAGTATTAATATTAAATCCAAAGTATATTTTTTTCTCTTACGAGCAATAGTGCCAGAAAGAGGACGCTAGCTCTCTGATTGTGTATGTTTGAGCTGCATCCTCTTCTTGCATCATTGTTTATCAGTTTAATTTCTAACAAACTGAATTTAAAATAATGTATTCAATAATCTGGATTGAATTTATCCAATAATCTTGTTGAAATTCAGAATATTAAACAGACTTTTGAGATTAGATGGAAAAAATTTTAGACTTGGTGCTGGGAAGTTTAATATTATTAACCAGAAAATTTGGTAAATTTAACAGAAAGAAATTAATCAGATTCATCTAGTAATTCTTACAAGAATTCTGGTTCGCCCATTTTCCGATAGACATACCGGTTGCATCTACCAGAATTCTGAATAATGCAATCAGATTTTTTTCTCAGTGCTCGAATTAAAAATTCAGAACTGATAAATTCAAATTTTCTAAATTTAAATTTGTTAGAAAAATAATTTATCACGATTTGAAAAAAATGTTGTAAGAAACTAGCATTTAGAGATTATAAAATAATCGCAAAATTTATATCCTCAAAGTATTTTCATTGATAAATTTAAAATACTTTATATTTTAAAATTAAATATATTATTACGCATACTATTAAGAATTCCTATAAATTAAATTCAATAAATTTTAAAATATTAAATATTATTAAACGTGTGATAAATATTATTAAACTAATCATATATTAATTAATCATATATTAATTATTAAACCAGAAAATTTGGTAAATTTAACAGGAAAAAATTAATTAGATTCACCTGGTAATCTAATTAATGAATTCTGGCTCGTCCATTTTCCAACAGACATATTGGTTGAATCTACCAGAATTCTAAATAATGCAACCCCAGATTTTTTTTTCAGTGTGCGACAAATTTTAGGAGATGACTCTTTCGAAAATTAAGGGAGGTTTTTAATATAAACATATACTTTTACATCTCTTCCTGTGGAGTTACACTTCTCCACAAATGGAGATAAAAATTAGGTTTTTATTTTTTTCGAACTAATTAAATTTTGAAATTTTGAACGAGTTAAATAAATGAAATTAGGTGGATATTTTCTACTAGTAAAAAGGTTATTAATATTTTTTTCAGTCTCTCGTATTGTTACAAGGGGATGAAACTAGTAACTTCTATTTAATTTAAACAAATTTAACAAGAAAAATTAAACAAGAGGTAAATTTAACAAGAAGAAATTAATCAAATTTATCTGGTAATTCCTACAACAATTCTAGTTCGTCCATTTTCCAACAGACATACTGATTGAATCTACCAGAATTCCAATTAATACAACCAGATTTTTTTCTCAGTGCGATCGCGAATAAAAATAGGAAGACATGCGCGTCCCTGTTTTTTTCCAATCAAACGACGAAGCTGTTCGATCTCGAGAAAACAATTGTCTTAAGCGGAAGTGCAGCAGCAACAGGCGGCGACAAGCCGTGCCAGAGACTCGGGGCGATGTGTCTGCGTGATTTGTGCGCGTGCAACCAAAGTGTACGTGTGTGCATGGAAGGACGAGGGGGTGGGCAACATTCTCCCCATCTCGTTACTCTTTTTGCTCGGCAACGGTGTGACCCGAGAGAGTACATTACGCTCCAAGTCGTATCCACCCTGCTATCCGACGTCGCGGATTTATCCCTTCTCGCTCGAATGTGCTCCGTTTCTCGCCCACCCGCGAGATTCCTCGCGCGTCGCTAGTCGAAGGAAACATTCCCGCCCTCGCGGGCGAGAGGTGAGATGGGCGATACGTTATATACCGGGGCGCGAAAGTAATTTATCTCGCGAAGGCTTTTCTCGTCGCAACCTGCGTCGTAAATTAGATACGCGTGACGCACGCACGATGACAGATCGCGGCGCGAGTCACCCGGCGACAGAACGCGCGCGATACCTAGTCTCTTAACCAGTTTACTGGTAATGGCCCATATATGGCAAAAAAAAAGTGCCACAACTGGTAATGGCCCATATATGTCCACT